TTTGGTGAGATCTTCTTGGAGTCCCTCACAGTCTGCTTCTGTCTTGACTATCCTAAACAGTTATGTATCATCTGCAAACTTTACCACCTCACTGCTTACCCCTTTCTCCAGATCATTTATGAATAAGTTGAAAAGGATTGGTCCCAGGACTGACCCTTGGGGTACACCACTAGTTACCCCTCTCCACTGAGGTGGGGGTCTCAGGAGATGGGCAGTGCTAATGTGGGGGGCTCACACTGAGGGGATGTGAAGTGCTGAGGTGGTGGGTTAGGCGGAGCTGGGGGAAAGAGCTGAGGTGGGGAGCTCAGGCTGAGCTGGGGAGAAGCAATGAGAGGAGGGGCTCAGGCTGAGGTGGTGAGAAGAGGTGGGAGGGGTCAGACTCAGATGGTGGAAAGAGCTGAGGAGGCAAGAAGCGCTCTGGTGAGGCAGCTCAAACTGGGAAGAGGGGAACACTGAGGTGAGGGAGTTTAGGCTGAGGTGAGTGGAAGTGCCGAGGTGGGGGCAGGCAGGATGAAGACGGGGAAGCGCTGAGGGAAGGGACTCATGCTGAGGTGGGATTTGCTGAGAGAAGGGGGTTCTTGCCGACTCAAGAGTAAGGGGCTCAGGCTGAGGTATTGAGAAACGCTGCTGGAGGGGCCTCGGGTTGAGATGGCAGGAAGCGCTGAGGGGGGGGGAGCACTGAAGCAGGAGGGTTCAGGCTTAGGAGGTGGGAAACACTTAGGCAGGAATCAGTTTGAGGAGGCGGGAAGTGCTGAAGTGGGAGGGACAGGCTGAGGTGCCAGGAAGAACTGATAGGGGAGGGAGGCAGGCTGTTTTGGCGGGAAGCACTGAGGTGAGGCTGCTCAGGCTGAGACAGAAAGTGCTTGTGGTGAGCTCAGGTTCAGGTGGGATGTGCTGAGATGAGCAGTGAGAAATGGGGGCTCTTGCTGAGTCAAGAGTAAGGGGCTCAGGCTGAGGTTGTGGAAGCACTGAGGTGGGGGGCTCAGGATGAGATCGGGGGAAGTGTTGAAGTAGGGGAAACTCAAGATTATGATGGGGAAGTGCTGGGATGGGGGGCTTCAAGATGAGGGGTGGGAAGCACCTAGGTTGCAGCTTCAGGCTGAGGTGGTGGAAAGTGCTGAGGTGAGGGGGCAGGAAGTTCTGAGGCAGCAGGAGCCACTGAGGCAAAGTGAGCTCAGGCGGAGGTGGGGGAAAGTATTGAGGGAGAGGGCCTGAGCCTAAAATGGCAGGAAAGCTGAGGTATGGAGTAAGATTGAGGAGGCAGGAAGGCCTGAAGAGAGGGGCTCAGGCTGAGGAGGCAGGAATCACTGAGGTGGGGGGCTCAGGAGATGGGCAGTGCTAATGTGGGGGTTCACGCTGAGGGGATGTGAAGTGCTGAGTGGAGGGTTAGGCTGAGCTGGGGGAAAGAGCTAAGGTGCGGAGCTCAGGCTGAGGCAGGGGGAAGCACAAGGGGCTCAGGCTGAGCTGGGGAGAAGCAATGAGAGGAGGGGCTCAGGCTGACGTGGTGAGAAGAGGTGGGAGGGGTCAGACTCAGATGGTGAAAAGAGCTGAGGAGGCAAGAAGCGCTCTGGTGAGGCAGCTCAAACTGGGAAGAGGGGAACACTGAGGTGAGGGAGTTTAGGCTGAGGTGAGTGGAAGTGCTGAGGTGGGGGCAGGCAGGATGAAGACGGGGAAGCGCTGAGGGAAGGGACTCATGCTGAGGTGGGATTTGCTGAGAGAAGGGGGTTCTTGCTGACTCAAGAGTAAGGGGCTCAGGCTGAGGTATTGAGAAACGCTGCTGGAGGGGCCTCGGGTTGAGATGGCAGGAAGCGCTGAGGGGGGGAAGCACTGAAGCGGAAGGGTTCAGGCTTGGGAGGTGGGAAACACTTAGGCAGGAATCAGTTTGAGGAGGCGGGAAGTGCTGAAGTGGGAGGGACAGGCTGAGGTGCCAGGAAGAACTGATAGGGGAGGGAGGCAGGCTGTTTTGGCGGGAAGCACTGAGGTGAGGCTGCTCAGGCTGAGACAGAAAGTGCTTGTGGTGAGCTCAGGTTCAGGTGGGATGTGCTGAGATGAGCAGTGAGAAATGGGGGCTCTTGCTGAGTCAAGAGGAAGGGGCTCAGGCTGAGGTTGTGGAAGCACTGAGGTGGGGGGCTCAGGATGAGATCGGGGGAAGTGTTGAAGTAGGAGAAACTCAAGATTATGATGGGGAAGTGCTGGGATGGGGGGCTTCAAGATGAGGAGTGGGAAGCACCGAGGCTGCAGCTTCAGGCTGAGCTGGTGGAAAGTGCTGAGGTGGGGGGGCAGGAATTTCTGAGGCAGCAGGAGCCACTGAGGCAAAGTGAGCTCAGGCGGAGGTGGGGGAAAGCATTGAGGGAGAGGGCCTGAGCCTAAAATGGCAGAAAGCTGAGGTAAGGAGTAAGGTTGAGGAGGCAGGAAGGCCTGAAGAGAGGGGCTCAGGCTGAGGAGGCAGGAATCACTGAGGTGGGGGGCTCAGGAGATGGGCAGTGCTAATGTGGGGGGCTCACACTGAGGGGATGTGAAGTGCTGTGGTGGAGGGTTAGGCGGAGCTGGGGGAAAGAGCTGAGGTGGGGAGCTCAGGCTGAGCTGGGGAGAAGCAATGAGAGGAGGGGCTCAGGCTGAGGTGGTGAGAAGAGGTGGGAGGGGTCAGACTCAGATGGTGGACAGAGCTGAGGAGGCAAGAAGCGCTCTGGTGAGGCAGCTCAAACTGGGAAGAGGGGAACACTGAGGTGAGGGAGTTTAGGCTGAGGTGAGTGGAAGTGCTGAGGTGGGGGCAGGCAGGATGAAGACGGGGAAGCGCTGAGGGAAGGGACTCATGCTGAGGTGGGATTTGCTGAGAGAAGGGGGTTCTTGCTGACTCAAGAGTAAGGGGCTCAGGCTGAGGTATTGAGAAACGCTGCTGGAGGGGCCTCGGGTTGAGATGGCAGGAAGCGCTGAGGGGGGGAAGCACTGAAGCGGAAGGGTTCAGGCTTGGGAGGTGGGAAACACTTAGGCAGGAATCAGTTTGAGGAGGCGGGAAGTGCTGAAGTGGGAGGGACAGGCTGAGGTGCCAGGAAGAACTGATAGGGGAGGGAGGCAGGCTGTTTTGGCGGGAAGCACTGAGGTGAGGCTGCTCAGGCTGAGACAGAAAGTGCTTGTGGTGAGCTCAGGTTCAGGTGGGATGAGCTGAGATGAGCAGTGAGAAATGGGGGCTCTTGCTGAGTCAAGAGGAAGGGGCTCAGGCTGAGGTTGTGGAAGCACTGAGGTGGGGGGCTCAGGATGAGATCGGGGGAAGTGTTGAAGTAGGAGAAACTCAAGATTATGATGGGGAAGTGCTGGGATGGGGGGCTTCAAGATGAGGGGTGGGAAGCACCTAGGTTGCAGCTTCAGGCTGAGGTGGTGGAAAGTGCTGAGGTGAGGGGGCAGGAAGTTCTGAGGCAGCAGGAGCCACTGC